CTTTATTTTAATTCACCAGAATTACAGGCGGTAGAATGCCTTCTCACTAGACCAAGTCTAGTTATTACAAATGATGAAGAATGTTTTAAATGAATTTGCTGAAGCTAATTGAAAACAATACATTGAAACTCGGATGTTGAGCCAATAATAAATGTAGAAAGGAAGAGGACATATGGATACGAGTTAAGAGTAACTCTCCATCACTGTAACCAGATGCTAAATACAGTCAGAAAGTGCAACAACTAGGCACAAAGCTGACAAAGTACTGAGACATTCGGAGGGGGGGGGGGGAAATCGGAGATCTGTTGAAGCTAGATGTCAGGACGTCGAATGTTTCAGTACTTTGGCAGCTTTGTGCCTAGTTGTTGCACTTTCTGACTGTATATAGTATCTGGTTACAGTGAGGGAGAGTTACTCTCAACACGTATCCAAATGTCCTCTTCCTTTCTAAATAAATTGAAAAGATGAGAAAAATTTGTGTTTTATATTTTATAACGGTATTTGTACGTGAGTGACAGTGATTACCTGACAAGGATATGATATGTGATCTGCTAAAAGCGACCAAAAGTTTCCGCAGAAAGAGTGGAGAAAACCATGTTTTGTAGAGCCGAAATGGTCTTTTTCAAATTAGGATTGAGACGGATTCTTGTCATACCATTGAAGATTCGAGGTCTCGTGAACTTCCAACGCTTCTCAACATCACCTGATTCTTCCTTTATCTCTCTGCGAAGCTATACAGGGGAATGAGTTCTGCCAGGCTGTGTAGACAAGTGCTGAGCTGGGAGCGCTTAAAAACGAGAGAGCTTGGAAGCTCAGGGCCCTACGCTATGCTTTTTTGCCTAGCTCATCATGCATGTTATTAAAACTGATGGAAATGTTTTTTCAATTGATTGGCTACCCCATTCATGATGAGCTAGGAAAAAGAATAGCGTAGGGCCCTGAGCGAAAGAAATATACATTCTTTTTCCATTCGAGGGTAAAACGACACCGACTACCACCTTGATGACCTAGGCAAAAAGCATAGGGATGTTAAAATTGTTCATTTCTCCATTTTTTTTAAAACATAACCTAGGTGTCGAGCCCGCATTCCCCCGATACACTTCGCACACATACTCATTTTTCCAAGTAGCTTCACGTTATGATCTGGCATTTGAAAGCCCTATTTGAATATTGTGGCCAGCCGTCTTTGATGGTACGGTATGGTACTGAAGTAAAGCCTTTTGCATAGCTACGGGAGTAATTAACAACTTCAAACAGCCATCGATCGCGCTTGGCTGAACCAGGAGAGACTGAAAGCTCAGGGCCCTGCGTTATGCATTGTTTTCCTACTTCATCAGTAATGGTACCAGAAATGATTGGCTACATCATTGTATTGCAAAAACGCTTTCCATCAGTTCGACTAACATACTGTCGTGGACATGGAAATCCGATCGCACGTCTAGCAGCCCCAAGGCGCTGGCCATGCAGCCGTGGATAGGCGGTACACACATGCATTTATGCGCTGCAGCACGCCGGTCGCATCGGATCAACATGTGCACTGCACGCAGCGTTCTGTACGCGCTGAGCATGAGGGCGTCGGCCCCGGTCAAGCGACTGGATTTCCATGTCCGCTACAGTACATGATGAGCTTCGCAAAAAAGCATAGCCTTGGGCCCTGAGCTTTCGAATTTCAAGCTCTCTCGTGAAACATAAAAGCCTGGGGAGGGAGAAAAGGAGTGCCCCTTCTAGATCTGGCCAGTCGGGAAGCACTTGGTTAGCTTCCAATGCCGCCAACAGCCAAAGGCGAGCGTTTGCGGTCAAAATTCCTGCAGGGTAGTCGACCCCCTGCGCTGCATTGGGGAATGCGAACGACCGTACAGCCATGTCCACTGCAAAACGTCCATTCTTTGAATGTAGTGGAATCCCATACAAACACAGGCGACTCTTTGGTAAGGCGGAGTAGTGGCTTCCGTGTTTTCGAATTCAGATGTATCTTTCGGCTTCCTTGGCTAACTCGCTGAGCGTTCCTGATCTCGATAATCAGCCAAACATCGAGTACCAGGAGCATAAGCAGAGCGACCAGAACACATGCCAAACGCCGAGTGGTAACCATCCTCTTCTACCAGTGGAACAGTTTTAATTGAACTTGAAAAGTAAGAGACCTTGTTGACCGCACATCAACCAGTTATAGGGAAACGGAAATGGTATACATGTGGCAATGGCACCAATGAAGCTGCTAGTAGACAGACGTAAGATACACGAGGTGTGCCTCAGCACACAGGGTCGGATCACCTACTTACGCTGCGTCATGCCCGATCTTCTACATGTGGATCAAATGCATTCTCAACATCTCTGGTAACCAGGCATTGCATGTTCTGAAAAACCATGGTGATCGTGTAGTGTTCGGACACCCGGCATGAACATCGGTACATGACCTACTGGAACGCCTCTCGCTGTATTGGGTAACTGCCGCTAGGGTCAAGCAAGTCCTGAGCTTCAGTTTACTTTTCTACCAGCTTGTACCCGATCCACACGTCCTGACTCCGCAATGGGTCTGCCTATTACCCGCCTGCAGCAACACTGGAAAGGGAACATTTGCCTTCCGGGATGCGCTATGTTGGAGTAACCTGCCTAACAGAATTCGCTCCATCTCCATTCCTCGTTACCTCCCCGCTCTAGCAGTCCCGTGTCTACTACGAACTGACAACATTGCAAAGCAATTCTATGTGTGGCTGTCAGTGTACGCGTGCGCGTGGTTTTGTATGTGTTGGCGCACATGTGCGTATGTATGCGAAGTGTGGCGGTGTGTGGAAGTACGTGAAGGTGTCTTAACCCTTTGGAGTCCGTAACTTTTTTGCTTCCGCAGAATTTGTGGCAGTTACGAAAATGCGCACTCCAACATAACTTTGGCTCTACTTCACCGAATTTGAAGATCTTGGGCTCGTTGGAAAGCTCTTGATGAGAGAAATACAATGAGCCCAAACTCGCCAAGAGCACTATTCATTGTCCGCCACAACGCACCCGAAACGCGAGTCCAGCTCCAGATCTGAGACGAAATCGGTCTCCTGTAGCCATTTCACTGAATCTAGCTCGGAAATGTTCAACTTTTTTCGAGTAGAAGCTTACCTTGCCGTGACTTTGCGCTGCGCCGGCCCTGGCACGTGCCGCCTGTCATGAAGCTGGGAAAATCCCTTTTTTTCACGCACTGCTGACTCGCAGCACGCAGCGCAGAAAATTCGAAATGTTTGATCGCTCGCTGCTCACTCAAACTTCATCGCAGAGACTTCGGACCTGCTTGAGGCGATAGCTGAGAGTTTTCTCTACAATCTAGACCCTTCGATTGTTGAATATGGTCAATATTTGGCCGAGAACCGAAAGTTTGACTGCGCCCACATGCATACAAAATGCCCATGGTTCGAAATCGAACCATGGACTCCAAAGGGTTAATGCGTTTGCATGTGTGTGAATATGTGTGCAAGAGGCGGCGGATTATCTGTTTAGAGACTTCCGACAAGTGTACTGCCCATCGAAAGTTCCTGTGTCCCAACAGAAGGATGCCAGGCAGTGTATGAAGTGTATTCAGTTGTTGTAGATCACTGGAGGACTGACTGTCCATCGCTGTCCTGTGTGTACGGATGCCCCTGTTGAATCTATTCGCCATGAATCGTACACTTTTCGATGTGATATTTCTTCCCGATGTTTTCACTCCCGCTCTGATTTGAGCCAACATCACTGAGCATGTGATAAGAGGATATCACGTGCAGCTGGTAACAACTGCCGTCATGAGTTTGAGCATTGCAAAAGGCGGTTCTCAAGGTCACAAGATTTGCAGCACCATGCCGAATTCTGTTGACTTTGGGATTTCTCTCTCTTCTATTCTCTCTTCTTCTCGTTGCCTGCCGCTTCTGGAATCGGCGTGGCCCGACAGGGTAGCTGAACACACTAGTAGTAGTGATGGAGCATGTGTGTGTGTGCGTGTGCGTGTGGAGGTCATCAAGCGTCGTGTCCTCTCTCTCTCTCTCTTCTCAAGTTTCCCAGTGATGGGATCACGTGACCCTTTTTGCGGCAGTGACTCTTCAGGACTGGAGGTGGAGGGAGTGTGTGTATGTGTGTGCGTGTGCGTGTGCGCGCGTGGGTGTGTGGTGTGTGGGTGAGTGTGTGAGTATGTGAGTGTGTTTGTGTTCGGGTATGTGTGTATGCACATGTATTTATGAACGTGTGTGCGTGCGTCCGGGCGTTTATTCGATTTCTCTCTCTCTTCTCTTCTCTCTTCCTGCCATTGTGTCCCGCTCCCGGACCAGTATGGCCCATGCTTCATGCGTGCTTGTTCCTGTTGTGTTCATAATGTAAGTATATGTAAGTGTCTGCGGTTTCCTGCCGCTGCTCGGGTTTCGGTGTCTCCTCGTTTTCTCCTTTTCTTTAATTAATCTTTAAGGGTGGTGGCGTCCCAGCAGATGCGGATAATTCGGTCTCCAGCAGAGTCTCACGCGAACCGCGACTTTTTTTTCATCCTTTTTCTCCTTTCTTGTTCCTTTTTCAAACAGCTTTCTTTTCACCGTGACCACGATCTATCGTCCCTTTTCCTTTTTTCCACCTTAACTTTTTTCTTTCTTTCTTTTGTAAAGAGTTCTCGTTTTCCATCTTTTCATTTTCATCTGTGTCTCCCTTTCAAGTTTTCCTATGTCTTAGCTACTTGGACCTCAATTGCTTCCTTTTCATTGGACGCGTTCAGTCCGTTCGGGTTGCGAAGTCAAATATACACAACCAATCAACCAATCTTGTGAATTCCCCGAAACACTGTGTATTGAGCAGGGAGTTTTCCGTTCTTGCAGTTTTGCAGTATCGAAGGTTCAATGGACATCTGGTGCGCTCTGCACTGGTGAATCAGTCAAGTGTTCAGTCAAGTCGGAGGAAAGGCGCGAGCTCCAGTGTGGGCAGCAAACTCTCTATTAACCAATCTCTCAACGGTATAGAAACTATCAATACGCAATTAAAACACAGGCGAGAAGTGTTACACATCAAAAATCCTATCCCAAAGGCTTGGTGGAAGGATTGGATTAAACAGGAAACAAGTTACATGCTCAAAGCGAGATGTTCTAAGTGCCTTCGAAATAGACCATTCATGCAGGCAATACGGGGATGCTGAAACGAAAAGCTTGAAAAGAAAGAAATTAATACCTAATGAATAAGAATTAAACACGCCAGCCATATTTTCGACTACTTTATCATTAGAAGTGCAAAACAAATAAGAGGTATGTCCAAATAAAGAGATCACTGGCCATCGCATTTGGCTGTACTACCGAGGTTTTGTTTAAGATATTTTAAGTTTGTTCTCTCCACAGTACAATGTACAACGTAAAAGAGGGTGGAATAGGCAACAAAGTACTAGTATTTGAGGGTCTTCAGAAAGAGATTGAGAGAAAACAAACTCTGTAAAAACTGTATTCGTCATCCTGTGATTTAATGTGGTGCGCCGATCATTTTGAATGTACTGATGGCCTTGTCCAAGTTCGCACTATCCAGGGGAAGGATAAGCAGCGGAAAACCATCCTTTTCCCTCTGTGCACTCACGCACAGCACATTGTTCTCATCAGCTGGGCAATGCAGGCGGAACACATCCTTGTTGTCGGAAAGATTTTTGCGAATGAAGTACGTCTCTGGTGTGCAGAGCGCTCTCGCGGGATTGTGCTCGGGCACCATCATCACTCGCCACAGCCACGATCCGTTTCCCTGGTAGCCAAGCTTGGAACCAATAAAGAACTCTTGAAGTTTGTAAATGGAACCGGGAGACTGCTCTGTGCCCTGGAATGAGATGCGGACTATGGGTGGGTCAGGGTTGTAGGCACAGAGGCCACTGACGGAGCATGTACGCACGGCGTAGGTTCCATTAGAAATAGGAGGTTCTGCACGGACATAATTATATTGAAAACCAATATTCGATATAAAAAATACACAATGTTCGATCCTCGATTTGATTCCGCATGCTTCAGATGACGTGCAAATTGTTTTTAATACCAACAACAACAATAACAACAACAACAACAACTCTCTTGCACAGCATAAGGTAGACAATAAGTATAGATTATAGACCGGTAAGGAGGTCTATACAGGATATATAGACCGAGTAAAAGACCGAGGTCCCCCGAGGTCTTTTACGAGGTCTATATATCCTGTATAGACCAACTATGAGGTCTATAATCTATTTATCGTGTTCTCCACGCAATAGTTTCTCTTCATATACGACATATCCTTGTAATTCTAGTATTATACTATAGCCTATACCGCATTGTACTGCATTGAAAGTCAAGATCATTGTTTAAACTAGGTTCAGCATCGGTAGCACAGTGGCTGGGTGGTAAGGAAGAGTGACTGAGATTCACAAGGTTGTGGGTTCAAATCCCATCTTGTGTATTTCTGCTTTCTTCAAACATTTATTTTTCTAAGTTGGAGAGAAAATTTCTAAGTCCAAGAAGTTCTAAGTAGTCAAATATATCGTGTATTTGACTAAGCAGTCAAATACGCGATATATTTGACCGCTTAGGTATCAGGGAAATTAGTGGGGTCAAATACTAAGAAGGCGATAATAATTATTATATACACCGAGCTGTCCAGTTTACACTTACCTGATAGTGGAAGCGAGTAGGGAATGTCAGCAGAGTCGACAATCGCTTCTAAAAGATAATAAAGATACAAACATAGGAGGGAATGAGAAGGAAGTTGATACCCCAGTAAATTCATCAAGAATTGTGCACAAAATGTTAAACCCGATGAACCAACTCAATGTCTAAATTTAATGGGTGTGGTCTATGACTATAGTGCGTTTCAAAAGTCCAGACCTCTGGTTTCAAAAAACTGTTAGGCCGGCATCTATACCATATAAAATCTGGGATAACTTTGTGCATCAAAAATTTCGAAATTGGGCGTCTGTTATCAAATCGCTTAGAAATTTATATAAGAAAAATTGCGTGAGCTGCCTGAGCAATATTCCGAAGAAATGTATCAAAAAGCTCAAACCAAATTTGAATTATTCGAAAAGGTCTTGAGGTCTATTTATATATATAAATATATATACTCAATCTGCGTATATATATATATTTATTTATTTCTGCACCTCATGGCATGTCAAGACAGCCAATTGGATTGAGGAGAGGGTGAGACCAACCACGGAAGAAGAGAAAAAAAGAAAATGAAGAGCACGTACACTATACCTTTGAAACGCACTATAGTACCTTGTGTGGTGTGTAGTGGCTAAATCCTGCTAACTCCAGGAATAGTGGAATGGGACCTTCCCTCTTTTTCTCGGCATCATTTACGAATTGTTTGCTCCAAGCACACGTACATGTATATCAACGTGAAACCCCGCGCTGCATCACAAGACGCCTCTCTGGATGTGCATGCTTCAAACACTCCTACTAGCATAGTGTATCGAGATACCTACCTGTGTTGTGTAGCAATCTCCACATGTCTACACATGAAGCTTGCACTCTACATATCTCACTGCCTGGCCCACCACTCCCCCAGGCTAGTGATCAGATCATGATTTTGAGTACATTTACGAAATTGTGGTAGGATACTTAACTGGGACATGACATTGTAATAGGCAAAAACCCTTGCACACATGCAATAACTTCCGCACTAGCATCAACTATCTAGGCCTGCTCGTAGAGAATTCGATAGTGAATGCTGCTGTCTGACGATCGCTCTGATGCGTAAAACGTTATGTTGCAACTAACACAGCCTTTCGTCTCTGTTGTGTGTGCAATATGTACATGCATAACTGCAGAATTCGGTGCTAACACCTAGAAGTGCTAGACAATTATGGATGCAGTACATGTGCGAAGAAAAGGAGTGTGTCAAGCTGTTTTCAGGCGCTATTCACAGTCTCCACATGCGCTACATAAAAAAATTTCATGATACGTTTGAAATAATTGACGGTAGTCTGGAACGAAACATCGATAATTCTCACAGGGAATTTCTTTCATTCAACCGTATGCCTGCCATAATTCGTTGCTGCGGGCCCAGGTCGGTCATATTGATGTATTTTTCCATACACAACAAGCGCTGTGGTGAGCATGTCTGTTGATCTGTGAACAACAGGCTCTTGTTACAGCTGAGTGCCGACCCTGGAGCCTAAAGGTGCGATCACTACCTGCAAAGCGGGTCCCTTTACCACTAACACTTTTAACTCCATCACTGCGAAATCCACTGGAAATAATTATCTTTCATGCAGGACGTACTTCAGTTGTAAACCCTTTAGAAGAGAGAGGGATAGAGAGAGAGAGAGAGAGAGAGAGAGAGAGAGAGAGAGAGATACACGTCGCGGAGACAAGAATGATGACAAACAGATGAAGTCAGTGAACTGCCTGTAACACTTACTGTAAACAAATAAATTGGACATTGTTGAGCTCGTAGGTTGCAAGAACATGTACGTCTCGTCGCTTGATTCGGAACAACCACACGGATCATGGCCACCCTCCGCAGACGTGGTACTCTCCATTGCAAATCTAGCGTGGATCAGCTCTAACTCAGCCAAGTCTCTTTCGTGAACAGACCGAATGATGCGCCTCACCCTCCGTTTATCTGGCTCTACTTCTTTCGTAAAGTACAACGACTTGAAGCCTTGCAGCAGTTTTGTCTCTATATCTAAGACGGAAATTCCGGTGTACAATGCAGCAAATGAGATCCCCACTTCGAGCGAAGGAATCTACGGGTCTCGCTTTCCATCACCTGCATGAGGACGATCGCGCTGCAACTCTTGTGCGTTCTCTACATCTGAGAGGCATGTGCAAAACACATCACGCGACCACTATATACAAGCCGACAAGCATGACACGAGACTACAGCAAATCATGCCCTTCTGAGAGCTGGATGTCTTCAGCCACCGTTGATTGGGCAACTAGAGCTACTAGTCTCTCAAAGGCACTTAGCGTTCTCCATTTGACATGCATCTATGGCACGCAAAACAACACGTCCCATGGGTCACTGTCAATGTTATGCCTTTGACAAGCTGGCCTTCATAATTGGACTAATCTACAGACCAGGGCCCGCGTGATCTAGGGGCCACACTTGCAGCTTTGACTGACGCAAATACGATATTTGCGTCCTCTTCTGTACTAGTTGGATGCATATCTCCGTAGAATTTTTCATTCTTTGCCGTTGCCCATTCCAGCGCACTTATCCGATCTCTCTTGGTTGATGCAATGAGCTCACCGCATAGCAAGGGCAGCATCGTGCAGCTTCAATCGTTGATACTAGTAGAGTGAACACACACGTTCTAAAGCACTGTGAAGAACCGATCCCAACTTTGCCGTGCAGCGTGCCGGCAACAGTACCATCGTTTAGTACGAATCAGGGAGTAGTGTAATGCCAGTAAAATATTATTGCACTACTAATTAAAATAATGGATCACTTAAATCAAGGATGGCATGAAGACCAAAAAAGAGCATTTTCACACTTTATTGCGTTTCAAAAGTCCAGACCTCTGGTTTCAAAACCCGTTAAGCCCGCCCCTATACCACGTGAAATCTGTCATCACTTTGTCAATAACATTTCAGAATTTGGTGGTTTTTATCCAATCGCTTAGAGACTTATGAGAAAAATTGCGTGAGTTGTTTGAGCAATACTCCGAAGAAATATTTCACAACGCTCAAACCCAATTTGAAAATTTAAAAAAAGGCTAGGGGTCTATCCTTTTGAAACATAGTGTTAATATCATATTACCCGAACAGCATAAGGTGGCCTAACAAGAATGATAAATACGAAATCAGCGACAGGAGTGTAGGTGAGATATGCAACTACAGAACCAAACAATTTTGTGAGATGAACATCCTACCGCAGCACATTGAACGGACCACTGACAGAAGAATCAGAAAACAAGGGTACATTCATAGGCCCGCAGAAGTGTCCAATCACCTTGTGCCTGCTCTGGGAAGGCAAATCTTCGGTCAGCGACTCAGCGTCTTCAAATCTATTAAGGCTCTTGTCGATAAACATACTTTGCTGCCCACATTATTCCTGTATTCACCACGGTACTTGCCTCCGTGTTGAGGAAGAATGTACTACCACCCGAGCCGAATTGTGCTGATCGTTACCGTGATCATGAGAATTTTGACGTGTTCCAGAAAAAGTATTATTCTACGTCATGACGTCTACGTGGAGGCAAGCAAGAAACCTTATAACGATGAAAGCAAAGTGAGGGCACTTATACCACGAGAACAATGGAGCAGTGATTCATGATATGAACGTCGTTTTCATGTGATAATCATAAGAAATCGTCATCGCACTGAGAGTTGGACAACAAATGAAAGATATTCATGGCACCATAAAGTGAAAATTATTAGATATATTCTTTAGGATTGAGTCTAGGATTGAGTTTACTCCCTGCAGGCAGTCGTACTGTGGGTCGCAGCTCGGCTGGAAAAAAATCCTTCTGCTTCCAACCAAGACTTGAACCTGGTACCCTCTGTTTCTCAATCATGGTTTTATTATTATTATTATTATTAATTCAACATCTCCTGGCTCGTCAGAAGACTGCCAATATATATGAGAAGTCGGGTGGTAGCCAACCACGGCGAACTGAATAATAAGGAGAGAAACAAAGAGAGTACTGCAAGGGGAGGCATGACGAAAATGGTGAGATTATTTAGGACGAAGAAGCTGAAGCTTGAACTCCTTAATGTCTGTGCATGCTTTAAGGCTAGTTGGCAGGGAAGACCAGAGAGTGTACGCAGAGAAGATAGGAGATTTCAGAAACAGGGTGGTATTAGCACGGGGTGATGAGAAGGAATGACGTGTTGATCTGGTGGACACAAACCAGTTATACTTAGCAAAGTGTTTTGGAGCCAGGTCTAATAAGATCATGTGTACAAGGATGCAAAGATGTTGCTGGTGTCGCTCTAAGAGGGTAGATACTGAAGCTAAACTGTAGAGATGTTGGGAGGAGAATGTTTGATTTTTGCGAAACAGGATTTTTAGAAGCAGACGCTGGTGTATTTCCAGAGTTTGAACAAGGGCCTGAGACAGACCGCACCACGCTGTGTCACAGTAATCAAATATAGGTAGAATATACGACGTAAAGAACAATTTTCGGCAATGGTCATTTAAATGGTGGCAGTGAGGGTGCAACATGCCAAGGGAGGAGCTAGCTCGCTTGCATACTGACTGGACCTGTGGGGACCAGGACATATGGCTGTCGAATATAACACCAAGGTGTTTGTGTTCGTGAACAATTTTAACGTTAGCATTGGCTCCTGGAAAGTGCAACGGCTGAGTAGGCGGCGATGGGCTGATGAACATTGCTTCGGTCTTCGCGATGTTGGGCCTCAGCTTCCAAGCTTCCATCCATGCTATGGTGGAGTTAATGCCGGTCTGCATGGAGGTAACGAGGTTGGACGGCGAGCTGTCAGAGCACAACAGTGCAGTATCATCAGCAAAAAGGCTGACGTCTGGAACTAGAGAGGGCAGATCGTTCACATAAGTTAGGAAAAGGAGTGGACCCAGTATGTACCCCTGTGGAACACCAGACACTACAGGTAAAGGATCGGACAAGGAAGCAGAGACACGGACAGTTTGATGACGGGACGACAAATATGACGACAGCCACTGCAGAGCTGTACCTGGTACTAGAAAAATGTACTCAAGATTTGCAAGTAGACTTTGATGCCAGACTGTATAAAACGCTTTTGATAGATCAAAAAAGACAATACCTACATGCTTCTTCAGGTTACGATGTCCGTAAATATCCTGGATTAAGCGTGTCAAGTGCAAAGTAGTTGAGTCGCCACGACAGAAGCCGGATTGTGCAGAGGAGAGGGCAGAGGTGACATGGTGGTAAAGAGATTCATAGAAGATGCGTTCACAGACCTTGGATATAGTTGGTAGGAGGGAGATGGGCCTGTAATTAACAGCTTGGGAGCGTTGTCCTTTCTTAAAGATCGGGACAACAATAGCAGATTTCCACGCAGATGGGAAGACTCCTGCACGATATGACAAGTTGAAGAGCAAGCACAGGGGATACGACAACGAAGGCACCAGCAGTTTAAGGACTTCATTTGGAATACCGTCTTTTCCAGGAGACTTGAAGCTCTTAAGACGTTTCAGTTGTTTGCGGACCACACCAGTTGTTGTAAAGACCTCCAGAAGTGGAGCGCGCAGCTCTGGAGCTGGGTGCAGGGGCGGGATAACCCAGTTCGGATCGTCGGGAAGGCCGGGAGAGACAAACTGTTTGTTCAGAGTGTCCGCAATGGACTTTGCCTCAGACTGACAGTTGCCATCAGGATCAATCAAGCACTGGATTGGGGCGCGAGAGACACTGGGACGCTGGGTGCGAATGAACTGATAGAGAGAAGGACGATTGGGTGATGAGATTGTTGCAGAGAGGGAGCTGATGTAAGAGCGGTAGGTTTTACGGGATAGGTATTTGACAAAGTTGCGTTGAACTCGGTACGCCTCCATATTGACAGGTGTTGGAAATTTTCGGCTGACACTGAAGAGGTCTCGTTTACGTTTCACCGCAGATACTAGGACAGTCGACACCCAGGGTGGATTGGATGTCACAGACGATGTGCGTGTGTTTGACCGACAAGAATGGGTGGAAAAATCAGCGAGGTGGTGCTGGAAGGTTTGTTCCAGGACGATTGAAAATCGATCGACTGCGTCGTCAACAGTTGGAGAATTGCCTGGGCGTAGAAATGACCAGTCACAATGAGAGAGATCGGAATTAAGAGAGTCCCAGCAGTGAGAGGGGACATGACGATGGCGGTAAGGGAAATGTTTGCGTGGTGCTTGCTGCAGATGTTGGCCAGGCGATGGTGAGAGCTCGAACCGACATGACACGGTCAGATGATCCGAGGATCCAAGAGCGCAAGTCGTGTTAATATCCGTTGCAAGCTGGGGGTTGTTCACGAAGAGAAGGTCTAAGCACGACTGGGTCCCTGCAGGTGTTGTGTGCGTTGGGGTATTCACAAGCTGCTCTAGTCCGAAGCAGGTGAGGTGGCGGTAGAGCGCAGCTCCCGCGGGGGACGTTGAGTCAGTTGGGCACCAGTGCTGGTGCTTACAGTTGAAGTCTCCAGTCAGTATGACGTGGTACGAGGACATGGGGATAGTGACCAGGGCATCGGTGAGCATGTTACAGAAGTGATTTATCTCTGTGCTTTTGGCAGAGGGTGGGCGATAGGCACTACAGACAATAATAGGCTTTGGGGAGCCGGAACAAGGTTTAAGCTCCTACCACACTGTTTCACAGGTAGGGCGACTGAGGTCGTTGCGAAGTTGGATACAACTGAAACGATGATAACGAACGAGAATAGCGACTCCACCATATCCCCTGGAGGCGGTACCAGACTTGTTTTCGTTAGGAGGTCGATCACGCCGAAAGGTGGTGTATCCAGAGATACTAAGAGCGACACTTGGAGCTAACCAGGTTTCACTGAGGCAGATAATGTCAGGTCTGTGGATCTCGGCAATAGCCGACAATTCTGCGGATTTGTTGAGAACGGAGCGGCAGTTAATGGAGAACAAGTTTAGCTTTTCCTGGCAGCGCGGGTAGTAGGGCCGAGCCAGTGGATTTAGGTGGGAATTGGCCATCATTCGCTAGCTGTTGCGACATCGTTTGTGCTGGTGCCAAAGCTGTCACTTTTGAAGCGCCAGGGTC